GCCTACAGTATTTTTACAGTCTTTATTTTACAGTTAAAATAAACGTTTATCAAATAAAGTTTAATGTTACAACTAATCATGGATCCCTTTAACATTGAATCTGTTGCTAAACCTGAAAGAGAAAAATTAACAGTAATAACCAAGACAAGAATAACATTCAGATTTTGCAAAAGCTCTAATAGTTAAAATTGCTTATAAATTTTTAATTTAAGGACACTTAAACCATTCAAATGATGTTTTTTTTTTCAGTCTTCATGACTTTGCAAGACACTTTTAAGTGAGTCATGTTAACTGCATGAACTGTTGATTCTGACCTGGATTCCCTCAGAGCACCACAGAGCTGAGCTGATGGTTTTAGTGGTTTCCAGAGTTAGAAATCGACCATAATCTGATATTAATTGACGGTTTAAAACCAGCCAGAGGCGCAGCTTCTCAACAGAACGTTTGTTGCTAAGCGACACCGTTCCGGCCTAATTGCTTTGGGGAAATCTAATCAGACACAAGTTCAGTTAGCGCCATAATGTGATTCGAGCCGCAGCCTTCAGCGTCACTGTTAAGTAAAACAGATTTTACAGTCTGCAACACGTTCCAGTAGTAGTTGACTCTGTTTAGAAGGAGGGATGAAGCAGAAACAACAAAAGGCAAACGAGCCACGTGGTCAGTCCGCGTGGAGTTCACGGTCAGGTCAGGTGAGTGGGAGAGGGGAAAAACAACAACAACAACAAAGGCGCAAGGCTCAGAGTGGAGCAGCTGATGATGCGCAGCTCGTGCGCCACGGACGCGTCCATCACACATCAGGTCCAGGATTTAGGTCCCACTCAGACCGGCAAGAGGCTTTACCTGGCCGAGGCGACACGGGCATGGTGACGCAAAGACAGCGCGTGCCTAGTGTTGCCTTCAGGTGCCTAGTGTTGCCTTCAGGTGCCTAGTGTTGCCTTCAGGTGCTTAGTGTTGCCTTCAGGTGCCTCCGGACCAATCCCAATCAGGAGAATGGAAACACAACGTGAAAAGGAGGAAACATGGGTGATGAAACATAGAATGGAAATCGTGTACACGAGTCTTAAAGGATTTTAGAAATGTCTCGTGCCAAAGGGACATTATGGTCTAAACGGGACAAAACCCATTTGATCTGATTTTAGGCAGTTCAGGCTGAACAAAAAGCTCAGTAAAAGTGCAGCAACCGGAAGTGCTAAACCAAAACCTGAATAAACTGTTTTAAATTTAACTGTAGTGTGTCGTTTTGAAGATTAAACGTTATTTTGGAAAGTTTCTTTTCTTCTTTTTTTGTTAAATGGCAAGATTAATCACCAGCTACTTCTTATTTTTTTATTTTAGGATTATGGAGCATGTAAAAAAATTGCTATGCTTCTATAAAAATACAAAAATAGATCTTTTGTTTGTTTGTTTTTTATAGAACAAAATGAATCAGGGATCTCAGCTGGACCCTCTTGCTCATTGCTGGATTGTTCCTCATCAGTTGTCTCGTGGTCGGGGTCATGTGGTCTGTATTGTTTTCAACTCCTGACACTTATTACTCTGCAGCATCCCCAAGTTCCTGCCTCTCTCCTCGACACCATGCGTCATGATCCCGGACGTGATCGGGAGTCTCAGTAACTGGTTTTTGTGCTGCCGCAGGATGAGTTGTGAGCAAGGCCTCAAAAAACCCTTCAGATCCGTAAGCTGATGATGCGCTTGTTGCAGTGGTTTGAATGGTAAGAGGTGGTTCTTACGGGGAAAGATTCCTGCTAACACAGACACAAACACGATTCATGTGTTCGCTTTCCTCCCTTTTCGGATTCAATTGGGAAACATGGCCACTAGCATGTCTTTAGATGTGTGCATGAAATGTTAAACCCGTTTATTCTCCGTTCCAGTTTTTGTTAGAATACGAGTCGTGTGAATCACACGCTCATCCAGAGGAGATAAATTGCCGACATGACTCAGGTGAGTTTTCTGATGAAGTCAGAGATGCTGAGCAAGTTTCCCACCTGCTTTTTGCCAAAACCAGCGAACGGCACTCCTCCTCAAAAGTAGATTTTCAGCCTCTGAGTCACTGCATTGCTGAATATTCAGAGGTAAAACAGCTGTTTTAGCTCAGCTGAATGTCAGCGAGTTCATT